TAGCTGTAGTTTTACATGGATTTAGCTGTAGTTTTACATGATTTTAGCTGTAGTTTCACATGATTTTTAGCTGTAGTTTTACATGGTTTTTAGTTGTAGTTTTACATGGTTTTAGCTGTAGTTTTATATGGTTTCTAGCTGTAGTTTTACATGGTTTTTAGCTGTCATTTTACATGGTTTCTAGCTGTAGTTTTACATGGATTTAGCTGTAGTTTTACATGGTTTTAGTTGTAGTTATACATGGTTTCTAGCTGTAGTTTTACGTGGTTTTAGGTGTAGTTTTCTATGGTTTTTAGATGTAGTTTTTCATGGCTTTTAGATGTAGTTTTTCATGGTTTTTAGATGTAGTTTTACATGGTTTCAGTTGTAGTTTTACATGGTTTTAGCTGTAGTTTTACATGGTTTTTAGGTGTAGTTTTACATGGTTTTTAGGTGTAGTTTTACATGGTTTCCAGCTGTAGTTGTACATGGTTTTTAGGTGTAGTTTTTCATGGTTTTTCAGTTGTAATTTTACATGGTTTTAGCTGTAATTTTACATGGTTTTAGCTGTAGTTTTACATGGTTTTTAGCCTTCTCTGTCCAAAAATGCTGGTGCCTCACCAAGCTACAACTCCAGATTTCCATAGTCTTGAGCTGGAGAAATTCAAATGGTGTCAAACCGCATTAATTCCACAGTATAGACACACCCCTGAATGCCAGCTCAGATATAGCATTTTCAATTTAACAGAATGCAGAGTTATGCATTATAAAAGCATCCAAGAGGAGCCGAATTGAACAACTGCGCTTAGTGGTCAGGTAAAAAACAATGGCACTGCAATAGATTTTACATGAGAGCGATGTAAAGGGATTTCGGAGCTGCCTCCAGGAACCCATTGCGTAAAATGAATTGTCATCTGCCAGAGAGGGAAGATCCGGTCCAGACAACACTGACCCAGGAGGGAGGTGGTGTTCGTGCAGGACGACGTGATCCGTTCGGAGGTAGTACTTCACGACAATAACAAGCATCAGGTAACACGCTGCCAAGGTGCCCAGAATACTGAAATACATATGAGGAAAGATGACCGATTATGCAACAAGGAAGGTCAAACCCAGTGCCCAGCATTTGAAATGGCATTTTCCTGCCATTTCAATTGATAAATTCACTTTAGCTCTACAACAAACAAATACACAGAAATTTCAAGAAGAATGGGAACCCTTTATTGAATTTATAAAGAACCAAAGGAACATGGCCATAGTGGGATTTGTTGACTAATATAATATTAATAGTATATAGATATATTTTGTACTATTTATATACTCCACATTCAAGAGACTTTAGATAATTGATTTATATGTAGTCTTTAATTAGAATAGAAATGATTACAAACCTTGTTATTTAGATATTTTATATTATCTATATAATAATAATTATATATATCTATATAAATAAAAATGTAATGTTCGTTTGTGGGATTAACAGAACTCAAAAACCACTGGGGGAATTGACAGCAAATTTGGACACGATACACTTAACAACCCAATGTATGTCCTTCACTCAAAAAAATAGATTTTGTCATTTGGGAGTTGTAGTTGCTGGGATTTATAGTTCACCTACAATCAAAGAGCATTCTGAACCCCACCAATGATGGAATGGAACCAAACTTGGCACACAGGTCTCCCATGACCAACAGAAAATACTGGAAGGGTTTGGTAGGCATTGACCTTGAGTTTTGGAGTTGTAGTT